GTCATAAAAGCCGGCAGGGTGACTTTGGGCCAATCACCAGGAGACTGAGAGTTCTATTCCCGCCTTAGTCATAAAAGCCGGCAGGGTGACTTTGGGCCAATCACCAGGAGACTGAGAGTTCTAGTCCCGCCTTAGTCAAAAAAGCCAGCAGGGTGACTTTGGGCCAATCACCAGGAGGCAGAGAGTTCTAGTCCCGCCTTAGTCATAAAAGCCGGCAGGGTGACTTTGGGCCAATCACCAGGAGACTGAGAGTTCTAGTCCCGCCTTAAGTCAAAAAAGCCGGCAGGGTGACTTTGGGCCAATCACCAGGAGACTGAGAGTTCTAGTCCCGCCTTAAGTCAAAAAAGCCGGCAGGGTGACTTTGGGCCAATCACCAGGAGGCAGGGAGTTCTAGTCCCGCCTTAAGTCATAAAAGCCGGCAGGGTGACTTTGGGCCAATCACTGTCTCTCAGCCCAACCCACCTCACAGGGTTGTTATTGTGGAGAAAATAGGAGGAGGAAAGAGTACGCAATATGTTCGCTTGCCTCAAGTTATTTATAAATAAAGGTGGGACATAAATAAAACGAGCCCAAATAAAAACCTTATTCTCAAGAGGAGTAAGATTTAAAGCAGGGCGTCCTCTCACTCTTCCGTTTACGCAATTTAAAAACTTGCAGGAGATCCGGTTTTACACGTCCGACCTCCCGAGCAGGTGGAGAAATTCCTTGGTGGTGGGCGTCCTTTAAAAGCCAACCAGTGCAAGCCGCGTACTCGTAGTTCCCGCCTTCCACGCTCACCTCTTTCCCCGGCGCTTCAGCTCGTTGAGCAAAGTGACAACTTGCCGAGCCCCGGTGCAGCCCAGAGGATGCCCCAAAGCAATGGCACCGCCCAGAGGGTTCACCTTCTCCATGGGGATGCCAAGTTTCTCCACACAGTAGACAGCCTGGATAAACAAGACAAGGGAACCAACTTCACTCAGTTGGGACAAACAGCTGGAATAAGTGACCTCGTGGTTAACTCTTTCCTTTCTTTTTCTTTTTTGAGATGTCACGTTTTATAACCACAACTCTATACACGCATCAGTCCCACAGGCAGCTCTTCAGTTCCAACAGTTCATTTAGTGACTGCTGGAAGTTACAATCTCACTGAAAAAAGCGACTTACAAACATTTTTTCACGCTTATGACCATTGCAGCATCACCACCGTCACGTGGTTTACATTCAGATGCTTGACAACTGACTCAAGTTACGACAGCTGCAGTGTCCTGGAGTCCCGTGACCCCCTTTTGCGACCTCCTGACAAGCCAATTCCATGGAGAAGCCAGATTCACTTAATAACCAGGTTACTAACTTAATAAGTGCAGTGATTCACTTAACGGTGGAAAGAAAGGTCATGGAATGGGGGCAGAACTCACTTAACAAATGTCTCACTTAACAATGGAAATTTTGGGCTCAATTTTGGTCGTAAGTCGAGAACTGCTTACACTGAATTTCCCATTTGTTGAAAGTGTTTGAAATAAGCGTGGCTCTATCTGGCAGGCTGCAATGTAAGCGAGGGAGATTTGGGGGGAGGGGGGAACCCAGACTCCCTGATGTTGAGATGCAGAAGGGAAAAGGGAGAATGGGACTGAAGAGCAGCTGGAGGCGTCTTTAGGTTCATAGGTAGCAAAGATAGTCCTTGACTTACAACCACGTAACTGTGGGAGTCCAGAATTTCCATTGTATGTCACAACACTTACTAAGTCAAGTTACCCATGTTCCCAACCGGAGTTTATGGCATATTTTGAGTTGTTAAACGAAGACTGCAGTTATTAAGTGAACCCATTGCTGCAATGGGTGTCTTTTTTTTTGCAGAAAAGGAAAGCAAAGAGTGGGTTTACAGCAAAAAAAAATGCCATAAAGGCAGTCATGTGATTGTGAGATGCTGCAAATGGCTGTAAGTGTGTAATGGTTGTTGAGCAGCGAAGTGTGGCCACGTGACCACAGGGGAGAGGAATAACACAAAGCCATTGGAACTTTGAATCCAGCTTCTTAGTATCTGTGGGAGTGGGCGGTCTGTCATAACTTTGAACAGTTGCTCAGCAACCCGGTAACACTATTTCGGGTAGAAGGAGGGACATATGCAGCTAGTCCTCAACTTACAACCGCAACCGAGCCCAGCATTTATGTTGCAGAGTGAAACATTTTAAGACTTCTTGCCACAGTTGTTAAGTGAATCATTGCAGTTGTTAAAGTTAGTAACTTGGTTGTTAAAGTGATTCTGGCTTCCTCACTGCCTTTGCTTGTCAGAAGGTTGCAAAAGGAGATCATGCGACTCCAGGACCTTGCAACTGTCACAAATGTGAATCAGTTGCCAAGCAACCACAGGGCCATGGGGATGCCGCAATGGTTGTAAGTTTGAAAAATTGTCGCTGTAACTTTGAACAGTCACTAAATGAACTGTTATAAGGGCTACCTGTGTTCTGGAACTTCAGAGGCCATGTGGGCAGGATAAACTTGGCTTGGTGAAGTGTGGTGTCCTCAGAGGTGGCGAATAACCCCAGAGCCTCTTTCCCAAATGCCTGCCCTGGATGATGGAAGAGGGCAGAGAGTCCAGGGCAGATGAAATCTCTCGCTAACCCTCACAACTGGGAACGTATTTCCTTCACGGTGTCTTCATTCTAACCTCCCCTCCAAAAACCTTACCTGACTCGCAAAGGCCTCATTGATTTCAAACACATCGATATCTTTCACCGTCAAACCTGCAGGTTAGATAGAGATGGGCACAATTTAGCGGCGTAAAGCCTACCTCTTCCAGGGGCGGTATTATTATTATTATTATAGGTGACACACCAGGAGATTCGGTGCCCTTTTGCCCCAAAGATGCCCCTGATCAGTCCTAAAATCCATTCCAGGAAGACCTCCCACCTCCTGAAGGGCCACCATGAGCAAACAGTGCAACAGGTTGAGGGAAACACTCTCCTCCCGAAGGGGAACGGTGTCAGGAGCCCTTCCACCCAAAGGAGGGATACTCCATTAACTGCGTGGATTTCTGCCCGTCCCTCTTCATCTCAGATGATGCTGCTCACCTGCTTTTTTCAGTGCCTCTGGGATGGCAAAGGCTGGCCCTATGCCCATAACATCTGGTGGGACCCCAACCACAGCGTACGATTTCAGCACCCCAAGGACAGGAAGCCCCAGCTGCGCAGCCGCGGAACGTCTGGCCAGGAGCACTGCAGCAGCCCCATCACTGACTTGGCTGGAGTTACCTGAGAGAAACCATTTCATGGAGACCTAAGTTATGAGGTGCAGGCGAACCGATAGAACAGCACAGCTGAGTTCATTACATCACCGCCATCCAGAAACCAGCGATAGAAAAGATTTCTACAATGAAAATCACTCTCACGTATAAAGAGGGTTGCCAAATATATATATATATATATATATA